TTTCTGTCCCGTCCCGTTCAGCGTGGGAGGGTTCTCGCGTGCGCTATGATGCAGTTCACTTGGCATCTGAAAATACATTTCCTCAAAGGTATTTTGAATCTGAAAAGAGCTTCACTGAGTGAGAAGTCGTGTTAAGAGCAGCAGACAGCTTAAGTTTCACTTTCACTTTGCTTTGTTACTGCCGAGAGCCTGCAGGAGTCATGGGCGGGGTGTGTGGGGTGGGGGGTGGGGAGGTATGCTCTGTGATGAGGAAGTTCAGCTTAAAGACACGTCCCAGGGGTGTTTCTGGTTTCCACCTGTCGTTTTGCTCCTCAGCATGGCTGTCTAAAAACACTGCAGGATTTCTCAAACATGCATGAATGAGTCAAAGCAAGGCTTTGGGCATGTTTTTATGAGAGTGTAACATTATAACATGATATAAAACTCAAAAAAGTTGATTTTACACGTTATAGCCCCTTTAAGAAATTGAACAAATTCTTTGGTCAGTGATGAATTTCCAAACAACGCCAACTTTGTTTTCTGTTTAGTTTGCTGTCAGAGCAATGAATCCTGGGATATCATCGGCCACATAGGATACTCATGTGCAGCCTACGTTTGGGGGTTTTGTGGGCCGTATGAGAAGGAGCCAACAAAATGGGACAGCCTACGGCGTGGTTCTGTGACGTGGGAGGCCTACAAATCCACATGACGTGGAAAGCAGCACCTGAATTGAGACACAGCAAAAAACTAGAGATATACAGCTTGTTTGGAACCCAGGAGAAAGCCTCTTCTGTCTAAAAACAACAACTTAGGRTTACAAAGTTGTATCCAAATGAAGCACAACACTTATCCTTCTCACAGATGAGACCATGTTTGAGTAAAACCAAACACGTCAACACAATCACTGTCATCATGGGCTGATGATCTGGACTTGTTCTACAGCCTCCATCACTGAGTCTACCATGAACTTTTCAAACATGAGGACACCTGTCCAACATCTAAAGTTTGGACAGAACACTGATCCCAAACCAGCCGGAAATCTACAACAGAATGGCCTAAAACATAAAGCATCGAGGTGCTGCGATGCTCCAAAGTTCAGATCAAATTCTGCGATAGGAACTCAAGAGAGTCGAGCACAACCAAAGTCTGCAAACCTTGATGACATCATAAAAATCATCCGCAGAGATGTGAGAGACCGATGAAGTCAGACTCCTGAGAGTTAAGGTTCGTCAAGTTGCTGAGTCATGGGTCASTTTTAAGTTTTCACACCAATATTTGCTTTGTTTAATAAATAATGACTCTGTGGTTTTGCTACTTGTGAATAATTTACAACCCCGTAAAGATTTGAAACCTAAACTAAAAGATGAAGGACCTTCTTGCATCTGGATGACTAAATGAATGAATTCAGAATCAGACAAATATGAACCAATTATATTTTTATGAGAAATATCTAACATAATTACAGTAAAGCAGCCAATTTTGTTGGATGTTGTTTTGATTGATAATTGGAAAATACTTAAATGGGTCCAGTTTTAAATTAAACCTGCGGTTCTCGTCCAATGACAAAAGCTTAATGTGTGGCTATGAGATAGTTAATGTGTTGCCACAGGATAAATACTGTGTGGCCACAAGATAACACATGGTCATGTGATAGTTAATGCATGGCCACAAGGTAAATATTGTGTGGCTATGAGGTAAATAATGTGTGACCATGAGATAGGTAATGTGTTGCCACAAGATAAATACTGTGTAGTCATGAGATAATAACACATGGCCATATCAGTAATAAATGGCCACAAGATAAATAATGTGACTATGAAGCAAATAATGTGTGGCCATGAGATAGTTAATGCATGGCCACAAGGTAAATAATGGGTGGCTATGAGGTAAATAATGCGTGACCATGAGCTAGGTAATGTGTTGCCACAAGATAAATACTGTGTGGTCATGAGATAATAACACATGGCCATATCAGTAATAAATGGCCACAAGATAAATAATGTGACTATGAAGCAAATAATGTGTGGCCATGAAATTGTTAATGCACTGCCATAAGATAAATACTTACACATGGCCATGTGGTACTTAATGCATGGCCACAACATACAAAATGTGTGGCCATGACATAGTTAATGCATGGCCACAAGATAAATGATGTGTGGCTATGACATAAATAATGTGTGGCCATGAAACCATTAATGCTCTGCCATAAGCTAAATACTCACACATGGTCACGTGATAGTTAATGCATGGTCACAAGATGAAAAGTGTGCAATCATGACAGTTAATGCATGGCCATAAAATAGTTAATGTGTGGCCGCAAGATAATAACATATGACCACTAGATAGGTAATGTTCTGCAACAAATTAATAACGCGTGGTCATGAGATGAAAGCTTTTATCCACTGTCACCAGTTGAGCTCTACAGAAACCAAAGACCTGCTTCAAAAATAAATAAAAGCAGTTTAATACTGAAAGTGCTGCAGGGAAGATAAACATTTTTTCAGTTTATATTGTTTAGCCAAGAGGAACCCTGTTCTGTTGTTATGCTTTATTTTTTGTTAGATCAACCCTCCACACCCTAAAATACTCTGATATACTTAATGAGACAAAACAAAAAACTTTACATATGAAAGTGACATTTATCAAGTGAACTGAGGAATTGTTTAAATTATTAATTAACAGGAAAATTGAACCTTTCTGCTCTGTCAGGCAGCATATCCACTTTTTTATTATAGAAAAAACTAAAAGTGTGTTTAAATGTTAAAAAAAATAAAACGAAGTCTCCTTTCTGTCAGCACAACAGCTGAGGGAACACCTTATAGAAGCAGGTGTTGAATCAAACACAGGAGGACCAGCAGAAACATGCAGCCTGCTTCAGATTATAACACCAAGGAAGACAGTCTTGTGTTCATAATCCCAATCCCAACCCCAGATGATATCAGATGTTCTCTGTAAAGCCTCCATGGCTGCAGAGGAGGAACGTGCTCGGACAGTCCGAACCCGATCAGAACCGAGATGTTCTGCAGAGAGGTTCCCCGGCCAGACCTGCGGCGGCGCTCGCAAGCTTTTTTCTTTCTTTCTTTCTTTCTTTAATGGTTTCAGATCAAAAGGATCCAGAGAGCCTAATTAATCTGCAATCAGTCATTGTTGCTGCAGATTTGGTTGGATTAACCAGGTTTATTATTTATAAATTAAAAAGAAAAACAATTCATCAAAGAAAATAATCCACATCAGGGTGTTTTGGCAGATTAGAGTCCAAACAATTAATCATCTGAAGTTCCTCTTTTGGAAAACAACACAAAGCATCATCATCATCATCATCATCATCATCATCATCATCATCATCATCATCATCATCATCTTCCTCGTGATTTAATCCCTCATTGTGTTTCTGAGCTCCGCGTTTTATCAAACACCAACAACAGGTTATTAATCCCCCTCTTCCTCCTCCTCATCTACCTTCCGTGTCTCCGCTCCTCCTGGTACAAGCCCTCGCTGTGGGATCCACCTGGTGGTCTCTCTCGAACCGGACCTGGTTCCTGCTCAGCCCGTCTCCATCAGGGCAGGAGCATGGGAGACCCGGAGCCGTCGGTCCTGGATGCGCTCCGAACGCACCATCCAGCGCGAGAGGAGGAGGAGGAGGAGGAGGAGGAGAAAGGGGAGGGGTTATGAACCTTCTCTATGTCTTGAATTTCTAATAAACGCGTATTTATTTTTTTTTCTCTCATGGCAGATTGTGACACTTAGCCTACTTTCTAACTTGCTTCAGAAAACATAAATATACTACAGTACTTTTAAATTCAATAGTGGCTCAAGGACAAACAACACCTCGCTATTATCAGCTGAAATATTTCCCACAAACAGTAAATTCATTATAAARAGGGCGTCACAGTTTACATTACATATCTATGGTTGTGTGAAAATAAAAGGCGGCAGCAGCTGACTGTAGCACTTTGAGTGCAGCCTGAGACAAGTCCATCAGGCATGTCARATTTCTGCTGAAATAACTGTGAAACTGACAGTGAGGAAAGGTTTACAGCATGTCAGCTCGTCTGTCTGAGCAGCAGATTGTTTTCCATCTTTTATAAAGCCACTTTAATCTTACTCAAAAACTTATGAACAGATTTTCATGAGTTTTTCAGGACACGTCAGGGTCGTCACAAGAACAACTCATTAAATGTTGGCTATGATCTGGCAACAGCTGGCATATTAAGATATTAATTGTTCATTACCTTTCTATAGAAACCCATTTCAAATGTTACTCTTTTCTAATGCTGATATTGTAAAGGGAAAAAAACATGTTTACACTGAATTCATTGTAGTTTTCATGCCAGGTCACTGTGATTTTTTGGCACTTCAGTCTTAAGGATGAAAACATTAACATCCAAAATGGTGAAAACAAATGTTTGAACTGAGAATGAGGTTGGTTTACTCTTACATGTTGTAAAGGGTGAACAGCACAATTAGTATTCTGCTAMCCGTCATTGTTACTGTTGTTCATCTGTCGTCGGAAGTGCACTCTTCGACTTCACCCCCGATTTACACTGTGTTCGCTCCACTCCAGCTCGACGTTGGCAGTAAAACGCACCCACTATAATCAATGAGAGCGTTTACACTGCATCTGCAGGGCTACATACTGGGATCCACCAAAATTAGATTCATTTGCTGTTCGATGGAGGAAGTGTGGAGCCAATCTACAACAATCACACCACACCAACAGGAAAAGGAAAGAGCACATCTTAATTTTCAAAATATATCACCAGACTATACTCTGTCAAAATCCTAGCTATATTATTATATGTGAGAATTTTATACATACATCAAAATGTATCAAATGTGTCAAATGTATCGTTGTGTTTGTGAAGCAGATGACAACATGCAGCATATGCATACATACATCAGAAATATGGATGCAATAAAAGACAACTGTAGGAATATGTATGCGGTGAGCTGGAGAGTGAGGCTGAGTTAAAAACTGCTGGGAACAGGTGAGTGAAATGAGCTTGATTAGAGTTTCTGTGACGGGAGGGGCGAGAGCAATGAGTAGGTGCTGAATGTAAACCYAAAGGCTGGGAACAAGACTATGACTGGAGCAAGAAATGAAATAATAAAACTAAACTGAGGCTGGATCAGGACAGACAGTAACAGAATCATAACAAGAATGAATGAATTTGCTCTTGACTTCCACATTTATCACTGAATTTATTGCACGATCTTGTATTAATGCGCATGTTTCTCAGAGCACTGATGTGCTCCACACCGGAGCGGACACAGTGTAAATCACATGAATGATGTCACAGTGGGGCGGAGCCACATGCAGTGGAAGTCTGTTTCCAAAAACCTTTATTCTGAAACCTGAATTCAAGAAGCTTTGSTGTCAGAAAAGTTACAACTTCACTCAAACTGCATCAAGTAAACTGGTACTTATGACATACAAGGTTACCACAAGGAGAGCTGCTGCGCCACAGCACCACCACTTCCCAATGATAAATATTGGATGTTTGAAATCTGTCTGTGAATGTACTGCGTCACTGTTGTATCAAAGTTCATTTAAATGATGGAGTTTTATGTGTGTTTGAGACCAGACTGTTAGTTTTCATTTATTTTCAGCCTTTTTGTTATGTTGAAGTTGGAGTGTGCTGCCAGGCTCACTAACACAGTTCTGGCTCCAGAACCTCCCTGTGACTGACAGTTTTATCAGTTCAGCTCAATATGCTAATGCTTCAWCACTGGCAGGGGTTCCCGTCATGCTGGCCTCCCACTGTAACCACGGAGGAGCCAAGCCTGATGGAAATTAGCTAAATGGTTGTTTGGCTGATGTGTCGCTGCAGCAGAACTGATTCAGGAGCTGCTGCAGCTGCTGCAGGATGGGAAGTTGTGGGTTTGAATCCCAGGAAGAAACACTTTGTTCTCACTGATGCACAAATGGGCTCAAGAAACCATACTCAGATTAAACAATGGACAAAAAATTAACGATTATTCAGACATAWATAATGTAAAATAATAAGCAACCTTTGTGGATATTTTGAAAATGTTTAAGCAACTTAGTATGAGTGAATTTTTATTGTACATTCATCATCATAGGGGTTTACTTTGCGTCCAAAATAAGCCAAATAAGTTTTTGCTTTAATCTTTTTACAATATGGCTAAACATCAGGAATTATTTGAGTTTTTCATTAACAAACACTAAACATGTCTTAAAATCTCAAACAGGACCAGAGTCAATGATCTGGCTTAGAAATATTTCATAAATTAAAAACAAATAGAAACAACCTTTGCTGCCATCCATCTTTTTCAGGAAAGGTCTTGCTTATCTCAGCAAGATAATGTCAAACCACTTTCTGCAGCGATTACCGCAGAAAGATCGTGAAATACCAAAACAACTCTGCAGCTGTTAAAGTGTTCCTTCTGTGTGAAAGTTAAAGATTTATGAAAGTGTAGAATGCTGTAAGAAACATCAAAGTTTCATTAGCACATTATATTTTTACATTTGGGTACATTATTCCACCACTGCACCTGCAGACAAAAAAATCTATTTAAAATAAACAGATGTTATGCAATGTAGACATACTCGTGTGCATTTGGAGTTTTATTTTATCTCATGGCCACACGTCATCACATTGGCTAACACTACATATTCAGTGTTTTTATTTTTTACTCACAGAAATRTGCAAGAGGGTTATTGTTGTCATGTCAGTCAATGTTGGATGGTCACCAAAAAATGTATTTTCTGCTTCAGAAACCTGAGTTTGATTTATCTTTTATCATTCTTCCTCCCGATATTTTTAAAATGTGTGTGTGTGTGTGTGTGTGTGTGTGTGTGTGTGTGTGTGTGTGTGTGTGTGTGTGTGTGT